GATATTAACACTGCAAAATATATCGGAGATGTCGTATATCGAGCGCCTGTTTTTACCAACCTTGCATTGCGTGTAATATGGGAGTTTCGGTGGAAACGTACATTTCCATGTTATAAAGAAGCGTAAATAAACTATTTTTAGCGAGATCTCGATCTGTCGATCTGTGTTTGAATATTTAATATTGAAATTGGAGATGTTACAACAATGAACTTATTAACTTTTTGGGAATATCAGACATTTTTTGAAATATTATATTTAAGTTCTGTTTGCTATCACAACTAACTCACGAACTTCTCACAAAATTCGGAATTCATAATTGTAAAAACATAAAACGGTGAACGGCTACCGCAGACGATTTTCGTTGCTAACCTAGTATAACAGCGGAACGGCAAAATATGTTATGCTTCTCTAGTACAAAAAAAAACTTGACGATAACGTAAAAGCTTCAAATAAAAATTTTACATTATTTTCTTTTATTTAGTATAGAGGTGATTTACTTGTGTTGCTAAAAGATGCATGAAAAAGGAAAATGTGAACGAAATAGTTGGAAAAGTAGAAATATATACTATGTATATTTTTTGTTTTCTTATTGAAACGATTGACGCCAATATTATTAACTAGGTCACTCTCTGTACACAATTGTATATTACGCACACAGTCTCCTGTTACGTAGTACTTTTTGCTTATACTCGTAATAAGCGATAATTATATTGATGTCTATGTATGCACATATATAATAATTAATTATGAAAAATCCCCATGCAGACGTAATAACTTTAAGTTAAAAATATTTACATACCCAGCAGGAAATTTTTAGAAATAAGACGATAAATTGTACCTGCGATATTTTTTAAAGATTGCCTGCTATTATTTTGAATCACTTTACTATCATCTATTCTATATGAAACAAATAGAGAATCGCTTACGAGGACCATTTAATATTTACAATTATTACTTTGATAAGATATTGACATTTTTTGCAAAGACTGGGCAAAATGCATCTAAATTGATACAGAAAAATTAGACTAAATACAGGTCTTCATATTATCTGCATTTTTTACTTCATTTTACCCGTACGAACGTATGTTCGAAGGGTATACTTAATTTGCCTCAACGTTTGTAACGCTAAGAAATAATGGTACGAGATATAGCCTGAAGTATATGTTTTTGGCTAACATCAAAATCTACCAGTCAAAAGTTGCAAGTATTCATCAATAGATGCCTCAGAATAATATGCCGCATATTCTAGCCAAGACAGATAAGCAACAAAGACCTCTGGATAATAACAGGCGAAGAAACTATCGGAAGGCAAATAAGAAGAAGAAAGTGGAAATGGATTGGGCACACTCTAAGAAAACCCGCCAATAATATCGCTAAAATGAGCTTAGAGTGGAACCCGCAGGGTTCAAGAAGACCTGGACGCCCCAGAAACACCTGGCGTAGATCTGTAAAATCAGAATTAGAAAACGCAGGTCTAACATGGAGTCAAGTCAAGCAAATAGCCCAAAATAGAACAAGATGGAGATGTCTAGTGGAAACCCTATGCTCCCAAGAGGAGTAAGGAAAAAAAAAATAAGTTTTTGATCAGCGTCGAATTCTGAATCGATCTAATTATGTCTGTCCGTCCGTCCCAACGATAATTCAAAAGCTAATTTAGCCGAGTTTACAAAGATTCACAAATGATTTATTAAGGTAAATGCCAAAACTGGTTCGGGTAGCAGAAATTATTGAAACTATGGTAATGAAATTTCGTATTTAATAAAATTCATTAAAATTGCTTGACCACTTCTGGTAGCTGCCATACAATTTGAAAAGTTTTTTTGCTATATCTTAAAAACGGCTCAACCTACACTACTCAAATTTTGCAATATCAGATGTGGTAAAATTGCTGAGATTTCAGAGCACTTGTGATAGCTGCAATATAACTCCAAAAGTTATTTTTTCTATATTTTAGAAATTATCCAGAGCATAGTTTTGAAAATTTGTACAAACAAATATTTTGTTATGACGGTTATGTTTTATAAAAGCCGTTGAAATTTCTCGACTTCTAGTCAACTCCAAAAGTTATTTGGCTATATTTTAGAAATTATCCAGAGCATAGTTTTGAAAATTTGTACAAACAAATATTTTGTTATGACGGTTATGTTTTATAAAAGCCGTTGAAATTTCTCGACTTCTAGTCGCCATATAGCTTTATAAGCTATATAGTAGTTGTCATATAATTTCATAAGCTGTTTCTTCATAGCTCAGAAATTATTGAAGCTACAAGGCGGAAGTTTTAAGGGAACGAATTTGGTGATGTGGCCATCACTTTAAATAAAACTCTTTTAGATTGTATGCGTTTATATGGTAACCACTATATACACAAAAAATAGCACTAGAGGTTGTATGAAACCGTATGTCAATAATTTTCGACATATAAAGTTATTTATTCGTACGAGTATCATAGAGTTGACACGGTCAACTATATCTTTTCTCACTTTTTTTTGCCTTTGTTTGAGCTTCGTGCTTAATTTTCCGAATGAAATTTTAAGTAAGAATCAACAGCATCAACATCAATGAATTAAAAATATCTTGTCATTGGACAAAGTGTTGGACAAAAAACTTTATTTCACATGCGCATTTCAACCTTTATCACCCCATTTGCATGGTTTCTCCTTATTTTATATCACGATATAACCCTTCCGATTGTATGTTTAATCCATTTCCATTTTCTTCTTTTTATAGTGGGTTTTTTTCTATTGTCGCCCAAATGACATTCTTGCCATTTTTATTCTATGCGTGATGTCTTCATCCGCTCCACCCTTTGTGCTAATGATACTAACAAGGTATTTAAAGTGAGCGATATCCTCTATTGGGCTTATGTTGACTACAAAGCTGCCCCAGTTATCTACATTTACGCGCACGACAATTTTAGTTTCACCTGATTGATTTTAAGACCACTTTTTCGGCTTGTTCACTAAGTTTGGGCAACTTTGCAAAAATGTCTGGGAAGGTACGAGACAGTAGGACTATGTTATCTACTGAGTCAAGGCCCTCTAGGTGATGTATAATAGAGCATATACCTCTTGGAGACGCTAATGTTTTCTCATTACTTCATCAAGTACTATGTTGAACTGTTTGACACACTTTTCCATTCTAACTGGATCGCCAAGTACTTCATTGTGTAGCACTCTGGTGTCTGTATTTCTCTACATTTTCTTTATTAGTGTAATTAAGAACCTTATTTGCGAGTGCTATCCATAAGGGAGTTGAATTCTGTGAATTGTTCTATTATCAACTGCAGGTTCTTGATTACACTAATAAAGGAAATGTAGAGAAATACAGACACCAGAGTGCTACACAACGAAGTACTTGGCGATCCAGTTAGAATGGAAATGTAATTTATGAAGTTCGAGTTTCAATAAATAAAAGGAGTTTGCTGTATTTCCCACAATATTAAATGGCTTTTATATCCTCATAGCGCTTTTGTAGAAGATGTTACACGCATTCCATTTTCACACATTCGCAAAAAAATAATATTTTCACCAAATGAGTATCTATATATATATACATACACGCATGTATGTATATATATGTAGATACTCATTTGAGCACGTATGCCGGTTATATATTACATATGTATTTGTGGAAAATATGTAATAAATAATTATATGTAAATATATATAATGAAAATATAAAATGAAAAATATATAGTAACATAGTAAAATATTTTGCACATCGCGATGGGAGCAGGCTAAACGCAATATGAAAATATTTGTGAACGCCTCAATCTGACCCTTAAAAGGAAGTTTATAGAAAAATAAAGGCGATACTCAATACAAGAAACATGTGTTATAAAAATTATAAAATATGTACATGTATGTACGCACATCATGTACTATATAAACAAAAATTATATTTTTGTACATTTACATTTATATAGGCCGAAGCAACGTTTTTATAGCACGGTTTAAAAGGAATGACCTTTGAAAATATTTTTTCTCAAAACGTTGTTGTATTTTGTAGGTAAATATAGTCAAACACGCTTAGGTTGAACTCTGTTTATTCTTCAAACCTCGCTTAATAGAAAACTCTCGTAATTCATAAGCTTTCTTAAAATCACGTAATTTTCGACATCATAATGTCTAAATTCGTTCAATTTCGCTCGCTTAAAATCACATAATTAAAAATTGACAAAAAAAAAATGCAAAAAAAAATTGAGAGGCAACTTCTTAACTTTTTAAAGTGTAAATCTTTTTAGTTAAATCTTTGGCATTTTTTTTCAAAACTGTTGAATGTTTTTTACCGACCGCATTGTGTATACAATAAGGTAGGTTATGTGATGGCGACAAACTTTGAATGTCGAGTTTTCGGTGGGAACGCACTTCTCCATAGTAAGGGAGTATAAAAAAACTATTTTTAGCAACCTGTCGATCTGTCAGTCTGTCGGTCTGCCGGCTTGTGTGAGCACACGTGTATCTCAATTTGAAATGAACCGATTTTGATGAAATTTTATATGTAACTCTATTTCGACCATGGCACAAATTGATCATTTTTTGGGATATACCAGACCTCGAGAACTGGACCTTTTAACTGGCCTGTTTTATATTTTTGATCATTTTGTAGAAAATATTCAACAGATTCACTTGAAATTTCATGTATAGGCTTCATTCGACCGTACGCAAAACTTCCTAACCATTGGAAGAAACCAGGTGTCAATAATTGGACGTTTACCACGGGTCAAATACATATATATTTTTGCGTATATAAAGAGAACTAATTAACAGATTAGGGTAACTGATCTACAAGACGATTTTACATATCTTGCCATATCTCCGGAATGAATGATGGAATTTCTTGAAATTTAATTTCTAATTTTCAATATAAAAATTATTTCAAAAAGCTTTTTTAATATGTATAACGTTTTATAATGTTTTAAGAGATAAATTTGTGTTATAATTTGAGTATAATTTTATATTTCACTAATTGTTTGAACTATTGTTTTCTTTTATTTTAAGGTGGTACTCGTTTTTATACTCAGTATTGCTTCGCTTATTATATATTTTATTGACGCTTCAAACGAAGAAGTGGAAAGATGTCAAAAGTGGAGCAACAATACCACACAACAAATTGATCTCGCATTCAACATATTTTTTATGGTTTACTTTTTTATACGGGTAAGTAGACATATTATTAATTTTTTAGTTAATAATCATTAATAATTTTTATACTATTAATTACACAAATAATACACATAATAAAATATGTACATAAAATATTGCCAACTTTAGCCTATTTCATTGTTAAAAAACTACAATTTCACATTCAAGAGCTACAATTTCCTGTTAAAGAGCTACAATTTATGTGAACGTCATGAATTTTTGTGAAGAATTTTTGAAAACTAATATTATTCAAATTTTTTTAACCGAAACCTTAATAGCTCACATTTACGAATGTGTATTTCATAATAAACTAAATACAGTAGAAATCTGCTCGAGTGAACATAATAAAAACACAGGCTGTTCGTTCTATTGAACCTGTTCACTGTATTAAATGTCAAATAAATTAAACTAAAAAGTAGTTTTTAAAGCTTTATTGTTTAGAAAAGTATTCAGTTACTTTTTTTTGAATTTTTTTTTTATTTGAAATTTTTAAAACAATATTTACTCTTGTGTGACTTGGTCGGTTAACAAGATATCGTTGTCTGCAGCCCATTGTATAGTCTTATTTAGCGGTTCAAGGGCTTCATAATCAGAAATTTTTGCTTCAACTGTTTCTATCACATTTTCGGTTAAATTAGTAACCGAATTTGGCTCTTTAACTTCATTTTTCTGCTATTAATCGCGTACACGGTTGATTTAGCTATACCAAATTTCTTAGATAATGTTGTAACACTTACTCCTGACTCTAAAGATTTTATAATTTTAATTTTTTCATTTAAATTCAAATGTTTTCTTTTAATATTTGTTTTCGGTATTTTAAAAAAAAACTTGAACACTTTTATTTTATCGAAATTACACTTTAATTGAATGCCATTACCTAACACAATGTATGACTTATATGTTAAATAAACAAAATAATGCTCTCTTTTGTAATTCAACTTGAAAAATCCCGTTACGATGAGAAAAATAAAAAGAATAATATAAAAAAAAAACAGTTTTGTAAAATTTGTTCACTATACTGGGCACTTATAAAAATTTTTGTTCACAGTGTAAGGCAGTCAATGCTAAAATTTTCGTGTTCACTCGACTGGGAAGTTCATAAAGTCGGGCGTTCACTAGAGCAGATTTCTACTGTACTTTATATTATTTATTCTTGTTTAAAAAATTTGTTTCGAAATTTCTTTTAAAACATTTTTATTAACAAGGAATTTTCTAATGTTTTAAAGCTTTTCTTATAAAAATATATTTCATAATCTTTTCCAAAATTTCTATAATTACGTTTATTGTTACGATATGCAATATTATAAATTTTGGATGTCAATAAATAATGGCTCTTACAATATTGTGAATATAATTCTATGTATCCACAGAGTGTTTCATACAGTGGCGCATTGACACAAATTTTTTTATTAAAAAAAAACGACGCTTTTTTTTTAAATTTCATCTTAAATTTCGCTCGTAGACACGATATTCCTGAAAGTTTTAGAAATATTTTGTAGAGAAATAAAGGTATTGCAAATGTCTTTCATTTTGGAAAAGAAAAGATACATGTTAATAATGCATAATACTGCGAAATAAAGCTTAAAGAAATTTGTTTTTGTTTGAAAAAATTCTATTTTAACAAATTTTGACTTTGCCCTTGAATATATCTGAAACTAGAAAAATCTTTGAAACCGCTGAAATACCGTTTAAATGAGGATTTCATTAGCTTTAAAATGAGTCTAGAAAGTTAAATTTATCTGTCACATTTCCAGAGGTGTAAATATAAATATGAAAATCAGGCGGTTTTGGCGTGTTACAACTGGCCCCATAACTCGAGAACAAAGGCCCAAAAAGAAAAATGTTACTAGGAGTTTTTTATTCGTCTACATGCTTTCTATCACCTTGCTTCGGGAATACCATTGAGTTCCAGACACCCTGCATAAAAGTATACAAGTATACTTTTAGTTTATACGCTAAAAACGTTTAAAAGTGGATTTTTTAGAAATTTTCTCGCTTATTTTTTAATAACGGTATTTTTCAGGATGATGTAATATTGTATCTTTTCAAAATTTCCCTGGTGCAAATTAGTAAATTTTTTAGAATTGCAACAATTAAAAAGCAATTTCTCTATAACTAGGAAGGTTACGACTATGAGTGGCATGTTGACAGAATGTTTGGAAAATGCGCAATTTGTTATTATAGAAATTTCCTGGAAAATACCGTTATTTAAAGAAGGAAAACGAAAATTTTCTAAAAATTCATTTTTCAAACGGTTTTGACATCTTACTTGCAAAGTTCTTTGCATGCTTGTTGGATAACCTATTGTAACCTATTTTCCAACGAATGTCAAAAAGTACCGCTGTTTCTCGCACAAATAGATACAACGGTACTCTCCTTCCTAAACAGAGATCGTTTCCTAAACAGGTTCCGAAAGAGGCCTGCTGTAGAGTAATTTTTTCCTTAAACATGAAATTTTACAAAAAATAAACACAAATACTTTTTTGTAAATATTTTTTGTTGGCCAATTTATAGCATATATATATTTTCAGTTCATAGCAGCGTCGGACAAACTTTGGTTTATGCTAGAAATGTACAGTTTCGTAGATTATTTTACAATACCCCCGTCCTTTGTATCAATATATTTAGATCGGACATGGATCGGTAAGTTTAAAAATTTATTATAATAAACCAAATTTATACCTCTTATTGAACCAAAATAGCTTTAGTTGAACCAGATTCTTATTAAGGATTTTGTTTGGTATACATGAAAGCACATTGGTGTATTTCAATTTAATTTACACCAATAAATTTGTCTTTTATTTTCTGTTACTTTTATTATATATATTGAAAAATATATTTACGTTATATATATACTTTTGCTCTAAATCAAATTAAAATTCGTTATTTATAATTATTACTCAAGGTCTTCGATTCCTTCGAGCGCTTCGTCTTATGACAGTTCCAGATATTTTGCAATATTTAAACGTACTGAAAACATCGAGCTCTATACGTTTAGCGCAATTAGTCTCAATTTTTATATCAGTATGGTTGACAGCGGCTGGGATTATACATTTGGTAATTTGAATTTTGATTAATAAATAATTTGTTGTATGAAATATGACAGTACACAATGTTTGTTTAAAATTTTTAGTTGGAAAATTCTGGTGATCCATTCGATTTTAAAAATCCTCATCAATTATCCTATTGGACTTGTGTCTATTTCCTAATTGTGACCATGTCAACGGTAGGATATGGTGACGTTTACTGTGAGACTGTATTAGGTAGAACATTTTTGGTGTTCTTCTTACTCGTCGGGTTGGTAAGTATAAAATGTTTCATTTGCAAAAAATAAAAAACCGAGTAATTTCAATCAAATAAATAACAAAAACGGAAAAAGTATCGAAAATTATAATTAATTAATAAAAAAATTAGTTTTGTTTAAAATTTAATTATATAAATTTAAAAAAAGGAATAACATATATTATTACAACTACATTTTTTTGTATATATATATAAATTAAATAAAATAAAAAAGAAAATGAAATTCAATTGAAAAATTTAGCGAAAGGTTAAGGTGTGAAAACATTGTGTATTAGGAAGAACCTTAAATTCTAAAAGTAAATATTTTGCGGCTATTTATTATATATTTAAGGTAAAAAAAAAATTAATTAGAAAATCAAATTGCTAATTTTTAAAATACAAAAGTATGACTTACAAAAGGATGTGAATTATAAAATAAATATAGTGAAAATTGTTCACTTTTATTATTTTACTTACTGTTTGTATAGACTAATCTATAGGTACTCGAACAGAAATAATTAATATACTTGTATATTTTAAATTTTTTTCAGCATTGTTTATCTTGTTTTTTTCTTTTTCCTATCATTTTTTGTTTTTTTAACAGTTTCCTTAAATGTCAATAACATTTTGTTATGAATAAAAATATTTTCTTATCATTTCCGTCATAGTTTTTCATCTAGTTTTTTAATAATTGTCTAAAAAGGAAAAACATTGTAAAAATTAGAAATATTGTAATATTATTTATAACAGTCTCCTTGTGTTGATATTATCATATATATATATATATATATATATATATATATATATATATATAAATATATATATTTATATATTCACAAATACATAAAATGTATATAATATATATAAATATATATGTATATATATATATATATATATATATATATATATATATATATATATACATTATAAATAATATTTATATATATATATACACGTTGATTCAGTAAAGAGTACAATATTACGAGTATATATCAATGTTTAGGGCATCAAAAATTTTTAAAATGTTTTTTTGTAACTACTTGGCAAAACTCCACGATTTCCACGATACAGGGATTGTAATTTTTTCTTGCCCAAGCTTTTTTGCTTATAACTTCCCTTCTGAAAAAAATAGAAGTTTCAAATGAATAGTTTTTGAAAGGGCTATTAAGGGCTTGAAAGCCCTTATAAAAAAAAATTTCGTGAAAATTCGCTAAAATTCCTATCTCGGAAATCGTTGAGTTTTGAAAACTAGTTCCAAATAAAAATTTTACCCATTTTTGATATTCTAAACCGTAGACAGCAAATCATTGGCACGCGTGCCAAGCTTGGCACGTTTCGAATATTCTATAGCAGGCGTGGAATTGAACATTTTCATATTTTTATTTTTTAAAAAATTTTAAGGGAAAAATAAATTAAAAATTTAAAAATTTTTTTATGTATAAAATTTTAGGAAAAATTGTTTTAGCTTGTTTATCACTTGCATTTGTTTTAATAAAAGCCTAAATTCGTCTCCGGTATGGAGATGTATATATTTTTTTGGTCAGCGAAAAATTATGCGCTGATTTAGACATGTCCGTCCGACATGTTCGAGTAATTGCCATTTAACAAAAAAAGCTAATTCTAAATATTTTAAGAACAACTTTTTAAACTTAGATAGCCAAAGTGCAGGGTATTATTCTATCGGTTTATATCAACTGAAACGTTTTTACTTGTTTATTACTTAGATTTTGCAAAATTGAACTGGTATATTTTTTTTATTGAAATAAAAATTATTTGATGCTTAGCCAATTTTTTACAATTGTTATATAAAGTTATTTTTCAGTTTAATTCCCTGATAAAAACTTCGCGGTACGTTTGCATAACAAAATAAATAATTTTTAAAAATTTGGCACGCAGGTTTCATAAGTCTTGCCACCTAGGCCCTAAACAATGGTATATAATATTGTGCTCATTACTGAATCACCCTGTAAATATTTTTATAAGTGAGTATATATTTATGTATTATTTACACATACATAAAAATCTATTTTAACATAAGCATGTAAAATATAATATGTTTAAAATATAATACAAACATATTATGTAAGGAAATGAAAATCTAAATTATGTTCACAATTTTTAACTTTATACTAAAGTAAGTTGATCTACATACATACTTTCGACTTTGCCTACGTACCTACTTATTTAGCTATCTTATCTACTTACTTTTACAATAAAAAAAAATTTTTCATTTTATGTGGCTGCTATCACCGAACTTTGTTAATGAGCTTTTTGATCTGATTTAAATTTAAAAAAAGCTGGATTTGTCTTTGGATTTTGTTTGACATTAGATTTTATTGGATGGAAAAAAGAGGATATCGTTCAATTCCTATCAGATTAAAAATGGCGGAAACTGAAATACACTTTAATTCAGATTAATATTCATTGTCTCCAAAACGAATAGTTTAAAAAAATTTTTTTTGAATGGCGAATTCAGCGTGAGTAATATTTTAGGGAAAACTCGTTTTTAAAAATTTTTTTAGTTAAACTATAAACTTTATTCCCAACTAAGAGATAACACATAAATTGCATTCTTTTCTATATGGCACCAAATACGAGTTATCTCATCCTCAGTTTACTTGGTATTTTTGTGCAGCTATATTTAAACCCGATATATATTAGTGCTAATATCGATAGATGGTTTCTGGAAAAAAAAAAAAACAAAAATCAATGCTGTTTTGAATGAACAGAAAATTAATTAAAACTGAATAAAAATATGATTATAAAAATTTCATAAAAATTTCATTTGATTTCTGCGAATTGTTGTTTACATTCATTGTAAAATTTACCTTTTTTATATTTATCTTAATTTTCGAAAAAGAAGATGTAAATAAAAAAAGGTGTAAAATAAATATTTAGCTGGTAATTATTGGAAAATTTAAAATAAAAAAAACTAAACCGAAGAGACTTAAATTGAAGTTAAAGTGTATTTTCTGTATTATCTTGCAGGGATGGTGAACAGAATTTGGATTTTGTTTCATAAGAAGAAAATGATCAATGTTTGATATATAAATGTTGTCTAAGGCAATCAAACATTGTTAATTTGTTTTTGGATTTCGTTTGATGAAAAAAAATTAGATGACCATCCAATTCTTATCAAGCAAAATTCATTTGAAATGTTTGATGTTTTGATGTTTAACTGACTTCAGCTTTATTAATCAACCTTAATTGACTTTTTATTTCATATAATTTTACATTAATTTTTATTACATTTTAAAATGATTTTGTCAAATGATATATAAGTAACACAATTATAACACATGTAGTGGGTTTGGGTATTATAAAAATGTATCGGGAAGAAGAAGGGTATTAAATTGCGGTTATTTCATCCGTATTTCACGTATTTCGTGAAAGGTATATTCACTTTGGTGAATATATAGTGGTTCAAACTCCTTCAAGTGGTTTCAAACTCCATACCAAAGTGAATATACCCTTTACGAGTTTCATGAATCTAGCTTTAATTGGTATGGAGTTTGTAACCACTAGAAGGAGTTTGAACCACTCTGAAAGTTAATTTTAAATGTTTGGAAAAAAATTAAAGCTAGATTCATGAAACTCGGCACTTGTGTATCCAATTTTAGATGAGATGTAACCCTGAAATTTTAGTGGAATAGCTTAACAGGTTCGGGTAATTACAATAGAGCTCCAAAAGCTAATTTAAAATATTCAAAAAAACAATAGAGTTAGGTTTATGAAATTTGGCAGTAGTATGTCAAATTAAAGGTCACATATCTTCTTGAAGTTTAAACTTCTACACCCTGGAAGATAGAAAGCTGAAATTCTACACGTACATAGATCTTTACTAGAAACTTATTTCTGTAGAAGAAAATTTTTACCTATCTTCCCCGCTCTTGAAGTTATACCCCGCCAAAATCCTAAAAATGCCATTTTTTAACTATTTATTGCAGTGAAATCATAAGCATTTTTCTAATTTTGCAAACGCAGAAAGGCCATGTCTTGCCTCTCCTATCGCGGCATACTATAGTCAAACTTTAAAAAAACAAAATGGCCGTTCTAATTTACCATTATCTAAAATCCTTTTTTCCAAATTTTTGATACTGTTTTTCTACACCCCAGGTTGTAGGTTTCTGAAATTTCAGCAGCTGTTAAATAGTTCATTTCGCTATAGGAAATTTTTTTTCCATTTCCACCTCCTCTCAAGTTATCGCCTCTTGAAATTTGTAAAATTTAAATTTTTGACGCCTTATGTTTCCGAAACCGCAAGCTTTTTCAAATTTCTATAAACGCAGAAAGCTAACGGTAAATTCCATTCCAGTAAAAAATATAATTATTTTTCTTAACTCATGCAATTAACCCTTAAAATCGAGCATTATGTTAACCCCTCTTCAAATTAATTTTTGCTTTATTTCAAAAACTGCATAAACCGTTCATCCTAACTATATGCAATTCTAGAAATAGTTTCGCAAATGAATGAAAATAATTTTATCAGTGTAGTAGGTATACATAGATTGTTTTTAAAAGCAGTATTTCCACTTAACCCAACTTTATTTAAATATCTAGCTTTCATTGTTGTATACCAATTACTTAAACCTGCCAAACCATTCTATACAAACTTCACGTATATGTCTGGCTTCAAATTGAACACACGACTGGCAAGTTTCATGAATTCATTATTTTTTCAAATATTTCAAGTTTCATTATTTTTTCAAATATTTAAAATTTGTTTTTGAAGTTGAATGGTAGCTACCCAAACCTGCCAAGCCATTCTATCAAAACTTCAGAGATATATGTGACCTAAAATTGGACGCACGACTACCAAGTTTCATGAATCTTACTTTATTATTTTTCCGAATATATATAATTATCATTTAGAGTTGTATGGCAGCTACCGAACCCGTTGTCCGAACTACTCCAATTGTAATAGTAGCCGCCGCTGGCTGAAAATAAAGAACTTGTGAAAGTTTGGTGTCGATTGTACAATTCGTTTCTCAGTTGTCGTGCGATTGAACGGACGGACTG